TGGGAAGCTCTCTACTTCCTGGGATGACTTCTGAACCTCTTTCTACACAATTAGTTCTCCCCCTCTGATACCTTCAGAAAAGTCTCTTCCTGGGACCTTTGGAAATAAGATCCTTCAGTTGATGGCCCCTGTTTTGACTTGTTACAGATTCCTTTTATCATTTATTTATTTCTCCAGGTCCTCTCAAATGGGGTCTTTCCCTGGTTCTTCAAGGGTGACCCCAGCTAGCTGCTGGTCTCTGCTGGGGAGAGTCACAGGGGGTTTTGAAACAGGATGCCATTCAGTCCATCCTTAGCCCAAGGGGACAGCATGATGATCAGATCCTCACTTCCCCAGCTTTGCTGTGGGTTCATGGTCTCCCAGTGGGAGGATAGTTTCAGTGGTCACAGTCAGAGGCACCTGGGTGTCACCGAGTTATGATCACCTGAGGAGCCTGCTTTCTGTCCTGTGGACCTTCATAGAACCTGGGACACATGACAGGTTCCTTTCTCTGGGAGGGAGGCCCAGGTCACAGCTCCCCAACCTGTATTCACTTGGGTACCCTTCATGAAACACTTACAGACACCGCAAGTTGCCTGCATCCAATGTAGTGAGCCAGGTGCTTAAGGAGGATGGAACTTGAAAACATGGATAGTATGTAGGATGACTCAGGTCCAGAAAGGCAAGCATCACGTGGTCTCTCTCATGCGCAGACCCTAGTTTCTAGGTTTCATATATGTGCGTTTATGAAGGAGTGTGTGCAGAGGATGGGAAACTTGAAAGAGATCTGTGAGGCTGGGGGTTGGGGGTCCCAAGGCAGGGGCGGTGATAATCGAGCTCATGTGACATCAGTGTGGAAGAGGAGAATTCTGGGATCAGAAAGGTACAAATGCAGATGGGGACAAGGAGACTGGGAGAGTTGAGAGTAGAGGAATCAACAAAACTAAGCATGAAAATGCCACAAGGGAACCCGCTACTGTGTATGCTAATTAAATAAGGAAAACCCAAGGAAAGAAATCTTCCCAGGCTCTGGCCACCATCTTTCCCTCCTGTCTACTTCTACCTGAGGCCATTATGTTCCACTTCAAACAACATCTTGTGTTCTTGGTGATAAGGATCCCCATGTAATTGTTTGGAGCTGTAAATGACTTAAATTGGTTAGGATTCTAATTGCCATGAAATGACTTACTTTATTACCTTCTGGTGATAAGAGGGCTGTAACCTTCTTCCCCACCCAGGGTTACCCAGCGGTCAGGGCCCTCCTGGTGAGTCCTTGGAACAGCCTCATCTGGCAGAGTCAACTACAGTGGCACCTGTGTGGTGTCCCAACTTCCCTCTGCCATTCCATCGGCTTCTTGGGGCTGTGGCAAGCCTCTGCCAGTCTATCTCCAAGTTCTGATCTCTGAGTAGTGGGGCCCGGCTTGATTTGTTTCTTCCAGCTGTGTACACAATTTACATGTTTGCATTAATTACAAATCACACATATGTACATATATATGTGCACATTAACTATATCGTTATAATTTTGTGTATGAAGTGATTCCAAACTTTGGCATCGGGCAGAAATTAACTCTAAATCTAGACGTTTGCTATGTGATGTTGTGTGAGTCACAGTGCCTCTCTGATGTAGTGAACCTGTGCCATTGGTCTGTTGTAAGAATCAAAGTGCTTGCTGCAGGGTAGGACTTCGGAATTGGGGCCTTACCTTCACAAAGAAGGCTCACAGCCCTGTGGGAGCAGAAGGCAGAGCCTCCATAAAAGATAAGGCAGAGCTTATCTGTGATTTTATCTGTAGGGATAACTCTTTCCAAGCTGCAAAATCACATGCATGTCATAGCTATGAGACATTCTTTGATTGGATTATGTAAAAGATGTTCTCATTTCGGAGGGGAGAAGGTTGACAGTGGGGATCCTTTGAATGGGGGACATGGTACAGACGTGGAAAGGCATACCCACAGAGAGACAGTCCTAGCTGAGGGATGAGCAGGGCAAAGGGTAGAGATAGGAATGTTCCCAATGTAGTCCAGGGCCTCCGGGATGACACGTTCTCAACGCAGGACTCTGCAGTATATCTGGGAGAAGGGCTGGAGAGGTGGGGCTAGGAAGGGTCTTTGGGAAGCTTCTTTGTTAGTTCTGGGAGTTGCACTTAAGCCTGTTATACTTTTCTTTTTATATTGACCCTGGCATTATCCTGGGGCTGCATAGAATGTTGCCTTTCTTACTATACACCAGTGTTTTTCAACCTGTGGGTAGTGACCCCTTTGGGGTGTCAAATGACCCTTTCACATGTGCCACATATCAGACATCCTGCATATCAGATATTTACATTATGATTCATAACGTAGCAGAATTACAGTTGTGAGGTCGTCACAACACGAGGAGCTGTATTAAAGGGTCACAGCATCAGGAAGGTCGGGAAGCACTGGTTTAGATGAACAGCAGACCCTGGAGCTTGGGCTGGTGTCTTGGGCTGGCATCTGTTTTCCCAGCATCTCTGTCTCTTTTGTGTGATCCCGGGACTGTCTTTTCCCCACCAGTTCTGCCTTCCTTCCCTCCGTTCCTTCCTTTAACTAAGTGATTGCTGGGGTACTGGCTGTGTGAACAAGAGGCTCCGTGTCAGACAAGGTGTAAGGCAAGCACTGACTTGTGAGGTTGTCCTCCGGCCTCCACATGCAAATGGTGACACATGCATACCTGTGTTCATATGCAAAAACATACACAAACATACATATGATGCATATACAGCGAGAGATAGATAGATAGAGAGAGAGAGAGAGAGAGAGAGAGAGAGAGAGAGAGAGAGAGAGAGAGAGAGAATTAGTGACCTTTGCATTCTCTTGCTGGTGTTTATGTTAAAGTCAGAGCCCATTAGAATGCCACCCAGCCTGCCTGTCAGGCTTCCTGATGATAACATACTCTGGGCCTCAGAGAAGTGAGGCAAAGGAGGGGCGTCTTTCCAATCGAAGAAGAAATACACTCATGATTTTGGTCACTCTTTTGAGAGTTCTTTGGCATTCCAGAAATGGAGTAAGAGCTCCTGGGATAGCACCTGGGGTCAGAGTAGCTGCTCCAGGCAGCAGAGGGGTTGAAAGGTGTTTGGGAAAATGACCCTTCCCACACATGTTGAGTTATTGCCAAGTTCCAGAGGCTCTGATGTAATTGTCACAGTCTCCCACAGAGGCAAGAAGCTTGTTATTCAGGGAAGAAGTAGATAGAAGGGCATGCCATTTCCAGCCTGAGGTTACACAGCTGATAAGGGTTTAGAAGTGACTCCTTTGTCCCAAGGGTATATGCAAGAAGATAGAAAGTTCTTGGGAGGGAAGACTCCCCGGGGAGGAATATGGGCCTCAGACTCTGTTTTCTACAGTGCTGAAACTGAGTTTCTTGTAGTGGAGCAACTCATGTTTCCAAGGCTGGCAAGATGGCTCAGAAGGTAATGGCCCTTGCTGCAAAGCCTTGGGACTTGAGTTTAGTCCCAGGGGATTTGGCGCCACTGAACTGGGAGTATCTGAGTTACTGATAAGCAATCTCGATGTTACTAGAATAATTTTTTGCTATGAATGCAGACAGTAAGTCCAGGGTTAGAAAAATGATGACAGTTACATCTGCATAATGGACTTCTGGCTACAAAATAGGCACCTGTGCCATGGTTTTGAGCCTAAATGTCTCCAAAGGCACTAAAGTCTTGTTTTCTGGCCTGAGGTCCTCCTGGGAGGTGGCAGAACCTTTAGGAGCTGGAGAAGCTGGGTTGCTGAAGGTATGCTTTTTGAAGGGGATGCTGGAACCCAGTCCCTTTTTGCCTCCTTTTCTTTCTGATGACTATGAAGTGAGTGAGCCCCTACCACACCCTCCACTGTGAGGTGCTGTGCCACCGGAGGCCCAATGCCACATGGTCAGAAGACTTTGATCTTCAACCCCTGCAGCCTTTCCTTCTTATACATAGTTTATCTCAGGCATTTTGTCACAGTCACACAACCTAGCAGGCTGCCCCATTATGAGCCTTTTGCGTTAACTTCCTCCATCTGCCCCCAGCCATCTCCTGTCACCTGGAGTTATCTGTAGGTTAGGTTCCGGCATCAAGGGCTCAGGGTGGCTGGGTGCTTCTCAGTAGAAGGAGCTGTGGCCTGCAGTTCTTGTGTACTGGGTATCCCAGGGCAGAGCTGGCACTGCTATCTCTAACACAGATGGGGAAACTGAGGCCCGGAGACAAATTAGAGGGTATACAGAGCTAAGACCTAGTCTTCCCAACTTTTTGGCCCAACTCTGGGGTAAGTCAGGACTCATGCAAATTCCAGGTATTTTTGGATTCAGGACAAATTGTCTAGAACTTACTCTAGAGCTATACACAGAGGTCAACCCCAACTGCCTAGTTGAGGGGAGAAGCAATGAGAAGCCTCGGAGACTTCTGGGCGGAAAGCCCAGCAGGAGGCCTCCTTGGAAGTAGGAACCTGTTGGGGTGGGGACCCAAGCCATCGCCTGCCCAGTAAAGCATGAGATGCCGTTGCCATTCCAGTGTTTGCCCACTCTTCACACTTTTGGGGTGCACTCCCCTCCTCCCAGGGTCTCCTAGCTGCTGTGTACCATAAGTCAGGTGGGAACCACTGCTTTCATCCTAGAGACGAGAAAAGCCAGACTTGTAGGGCCTGTGGTCTGTCTAGAGCAGTGGTTCTCAGCCTTCCTGATGCTGGGACCCTTTAATACAGTTCCTCATGCTGCAGTGACCCCAGCCATAAAATTGTTTTTGTTGCTCTCCATAACTGTAATTTTGCCGCAGTTAGGAATCTTAATTTAAATAGTTTTGGAGGCAGGGGTTTGCCACAGGTGTTGCTACCTACAGGTTGAGAACCACTATGTATAGTCTCTGCAAAGCAGCAGAGAGCTGAGGCAAGGGCTTTTCAGTACAGATCCAAGCAGGCTAGATGGGCTCTGTGTGCGCAGAGAGCTTTCCTGTCTCCCTCATCGGTAATGCTGTTGAGGGTGGGACATCCCTTCCCAGACCAGCAAATGACAAAGACACCAAATTCTGTTTTAAATTAGAAACGTTTCTTCTATTTTCTCCCATTCCATGAGCCAAGTGCAAGGTTGCCGACACCTGTCAGCAGGCAGAGGCCAGCATCACCTTTCAGCTGCGCTGGGCAGAATCCGATCTGTTCAGCTCCACGTCTGTTTCCAAGGGCACAAAGCTCAGGGTTTAGTATTCAGTGCAGGCGTCACGGGTGAATGCGTGGATGGGTGCACGGGTGTGTACCACGGTGTTCCCTAGGGCTCATCTCCCCAAAGCAAGGGAGAAAAGCGTCCTCAGAAATAATGTGTCTGGCTGCTGTGCTACAGATGGGGCCCGGAGGCCGAGAGTGGCCAGCTGGAGGTGGCACAGCCATTAGAGGGAGCACAGGGGTGAACGGAGAGCAGCTTATTCTGGAGTTCACTCCCAGCCCTCAGGCGGCCAGGCTTCTGCACTAGGAGAATGACTTCGGCTGCTAAGATGTGCATTGTCTTTTGCTGCCGTGCCAGTGCGGTCTTCAGTGGCAAGCTCTGGGTAGCTGCCCGGGCTGGGAGCTGTTGATGGATTGTGGAGTGGTTTTTCTCTGAGGCTCAGAACTGCCTGCGTCACTGAGAGAGGAGAGTAGCTTGCTTGGGAAGAGAGCAACCAGTCCCTATGTGGAAGTGGCACAGATGCTGCCCCACTTGGGGTGTGGAGACGGCAGAAGGAACGTAGGGACACAAGGCTGCTGGGTGAGAGAGCCAGGCAAGGGCTGCAGATCCCACGGGTGCCATGGGACAAGGGTGACCTGGGCAGGGAGCCAGCTGGATGTGAGCTGAGTCTGAGACAGTAGGTAGCAGCCTGTGGGAGGCATCAGCCTGGGCAGAGCAGTGGGTGTCAGCACAGGACCCTGTCAGGAGAAATCAGAGGGGACCGATGAGTCCTAACCTTTACCTAGGACTGTTCCTGCTGCCTCCCAGGTGCCTCCATGACTCAATAGCGGGTGGTGGGTAGAGTGACCAGCTTGTCCTGCCTTGTCTGGGACTCTCAGCATCCCATGTGGTCCATGCAAACCTACCTGGACCTAATCCTCACAGCATGAACAGCAGCCATGTGTCTGGGATGTCACCTCACTCCTCAGAGATCCACTTCTTCAGTAGCAGACCATAAGTAGAATGTTCCAGATCTTTGTCATCTCATCCTTGTCAAAACTTTAGCCCTGACCTCTAAGGAGCAAGGTGACCTTCTATGCCACACTGTGATGTGGGATTTGAGCTGAGATTTGAAACTGGGCAATCATCTGCTTTAGAGCCAACTGCCCAGGCCCCCTCTGTTCTATGCTTCACCCTGTGATTCTGTGTTGTGTACTGTGAAGTTTCATACAGCAACAGAACCACCCCCTCCTGGCCAGCTAGCCAGCCACTTGCCCCGAATCCCCTCTTCAGGCGTCTCCTTTGCCTTCCTATTTCGGAAAGGATTTCCATTATGCTTGGTACTGTAGGCACCTCCCCTAGGACTTCCTCAGGAACAGACAACTGCCCCTCCAGTCCCACTTGAGGACTGGGCCACTCACAGCCATGTCCGAGTTTGAGGGCAGGGTCAAGCTGGCTTCCCCAGGCTGCTGCGATGCACCGAGGCTTCCAACTTTCTCCTGCTTCCTCCACTTGGCTCTCTGATTTTGGAACCAGATCTGTGGCCAGAGAAAGAAAACGGATGTGTGCAAAGGAAAGACATTCCAACTGGTGCCTTCCCCATCTGGCATCTTCCCCCCAAATGCAGAACACTGATATCCCCAAAAGAACGAGCACTTCACAGTTTATAAAATCGCACCATGGGAGGGGGAGTTCTTTGTACGTGGAGTCTAGAGACTTCAGGGAAGACAGCAGGGGTCATAGTCTCGTTGTATCATGTCCGAGTGATAACTGAGAAGGGTTGGGCAGGGTCTGTGGTGAACAGAACTTAAAGAGGATCTTGGGTCTTGCTAACAAATGTCACCTGCAAACAGTAGCCGGTGGATCAGACTTATCCAGTCTCCAATGTGAAAATCATAACTATTTTTTTAATGTGAATGCTTTTGAGTTTTCAAATGCTGTGCAGGCCAAATACAACCCATCTGTGGGTTGTTTTCCATCAGCAGGCCATCAGTTTGCAACCCCTGTGGGCCACTTGGCATCTATAGGTGGAACATTGGCAGATTCTGCATTCCAGGGTGCCCTGATGGGCTCTGACACGCAGCCATTTGTACTCGGTGATTCTGGGGAGGCAGGTGTTGGATCCTAGACTGGATGGCAGACGCAGGTGCTAAACATTCAGCCCAGTTCCAGGTAGGAGGGAAAGGGGGCCTGGCTAAGGCTGGGTTGGGTTCTAGCCAGCGGGAAAGGAGGCTGAAGCAAAAGTGGTCCATCAGGCTGGACCTCTATTTTGATTTTGAATGAGGAAAAAATGAACTGCATTTTGTTTTTTTGAAAGAATGATATAGAAGCTCTGTGTCCAGAGAGAGTGCTGCTAACAGTATTACAGCGGGATACAGCAGACCCTCTCACGCCAGCCTGGGACTTGGGAAACAGAATGTATCTAAAAAGAGGGCACCAGGTGTACCCTGGTGGTGACAAGGGGCTGTGGTATTTCCAAGCATGGACAAAGGAATAGATACTCTGGGGTAAAGAGAATACAGATGTTAGGTTAGGCTGTTAGTGCAGAAACCCTGACTCTGACAATGAATCCTTGGTCTATCTACTTCTCTGCTTCCACCAAGGAAACATGGAGATGTTTTTACTATGCTGGCCAACAGTTCCCTGGTAAGCTACAGATGCCATTCTAAATGTTTGAGTGGTCCACAAGCTGAGAGTGGTTCACACAGCTTCAAATCATTGGGAAAAGAAACAAAAGGAAGGAGAATATTTTGCAACACCCGCAACTTGTACAAAAAACTAATTTCAACACTTATAAATACAGTTTTGTTGTAATGTCACTATGATCACCTGTTTCTGCCTTGGCTGTGGTGGCTCTCAGGCCACCATGGCAGGGATGTGGCCCATTCCGACAGCAAAGCCCAAAGTGATTACTCTTAGTAAAAATGTTGGTTGACCCAGTCCCCAGCTGCTATGACTGATGGTGTGACTAACCTTTAGAAGCATGAATATGCTGAGAGAGAGGGCACGGGGACAGAGATGGGTGGAGAGCACTGGTGTGCACCCCACAGGGAGATCCTTTACTAAGTGAGAGTGAGAAATATCTGGCTGTGATGACGGCCCAGGAGGTCAAGCCAACGGCAGTTTCAGCTGGGGCAACCCTGGAGGCTGAGGACCCAGCGTGAGACTGGGTGGGCGTTGGGCACTGTACCTGCACTCGAGCTTCGGGCAGGTTGATCCTGGAAGCCAGCTGGGTCCGGACGTGGATGTCAGGGTAGTGGGTAAAGCGGAAGAGCTTCTCCAGTTCCTGGAGCTGCTCCGTGGTGAAGGTAGTGCGGACTCTCCGCTTGTTCCTTTTTTCCTCTGTGGAAAAAGCGCACCAGTCGGGTCAACGACCTGGATGTCAGCTCCTTGGGGATGCTCACACTGCTTTGTTCTCCCTTCACCAAACCAACGACCGCTGCTGAGTCTTGGTCCTTGGCTACTTGGCATTGGAGCTTAGCAATGTTGTCTTCTAGAACACCCTCTAGGCTAATCCTCTTCTCCCCAGTGAAGCCAACTTAACCATCTAGAAAATTCTCTGATTCTGTGTCTTTCTTCTGTTTAAATGTCTTGAAGGCACATCTCTTTGTCTGTAGTGGGAGGTGGCAAACCATGACCTGCTGACCAAACCCAGCCCACTGTGTTTTAAAATAAAGTTTTATTGAAGCATAGCTCTATGTGTTGCATTTTGCATTATCTCTTCCTGATTTTATACTATAGTGGTGGCACTGAGTCATTGTATCTGAGAGCATATGGCCATGAAGACTGAAATAATTACCATCTGGCCCTTTACAGAAGAAGTATGCCAACCTTGGCTTACAAAGTGCAGGCTAAGCATGGCGGCAGCAGGGCCCTGTCAATCTTTCTCTAAGCCACCTGTCTAGTCTCTAGCTACTCAGGTCTGGCTCTGCCATTTGTGGGGTCCAGCACAAAATGAAAGTGGCAAGCCCCTTGTTCAAGAAAGAGCCAAGAGCCTTTTCCTTCGTTACCTAGATTGTCACTCTCTGTCTCTCATGGGATTTGTTTACGTGTAAGTATGTGTGCGTGCCCATGTGTGGCCTATGTGCGTGTGTGTATGCACATGTTTACTCAACACAGAAGCCACAGGAGGACAAAGGGTGCCCTGTTCCATCATTCTTTGTCGTATTTCCTTTGGACAGGGTCTCCCACTGAACTTGGAACTGGGTTGGCAGCCAGAAAGCTCCAATGATTCTCCTGTCTCTGTACTCAGGGGTTACAGCTGTGCATGTAGATACATCCTGCTTTTTTATGTGGGTGCTGGGACTTGAACTCAGGTCCTTATGCTTGTGCAGCGAATCCTCTTACCTACAGCCCTCGTGGTGGCCTGTTAATTTTGAGGGAGACAGATTGAATGAGAACACGCACGGGGTACGCTGGTCTTCCCAGGGATCTGGGAGTTACCCCAAGGCTTTGAGACATGTACATGCACATTCAGTGGAGATATTTGACCCCATCCTGAAACTTGGCACCCAACTTTGAATATCCTGGACGTCACACCTCAGCCAGCCCCTTTCCAAGGTGGAAGTAAGCAGGGGAACGGGAGAGGGGCACAAGAGCCTGCCCTAGGGCAGCAGGAGTGGGAAGAAGGCATTGCTGGTGAGTGGAGGCTCACCATCATTAAGTGTTATCCTGGCACTTGCTTAATGACTCACCAGTCTCCTTCCAAAGCACAAATTCTAACCTAAGATTGCTAAGGGGTTCAAGACAGTGACCCTATGTATTCAGCTCTACTTGTGGGACTGCCGTGTAGGCACAGCCCTCTGTGGAACCATGGTAGGTACCTACACTGCCATAGGCACCCCTACTGCCAACCTATGTCCCAACCTCATTCAAGCTGTTCAACTACCTGGCTTTGTAGCATATCCCAGAGGTGTTTTGCTGCAACAAGCTCATGGGCTTAGGACAGACTGATCACTTTTGTCATAATTCTAGTTTCTACAGTCTCCTTGGGGCATAAATTCAGTCTTAAAGAAAGATTTAAATATTTTATTCTTTGACCTTCACTTGAATTTGGGTACACAGGGTTCAAGGATAGACTTCAACTGACAGGCCTCAATATAGAAAAGGCTCGAACTAAATATTTTGTCTACAAAATATGAAAGAAAGAATATTTTGTAGTGACAATTAAAAAGTTAGAAGATTCTAACAATTTCATAATAGTTAATACCTGCTGTCTATATTCCATGTACACACAGTGCTTCTCTAGATGATAGAGCAAAGCAGTGATAATACCTAAGTAAATGTTTGAAAGGACGAGCAATTAGAAAGGGTTTGTACGTAGAGAAATGAAGTGGTACTATTAGCATCTATGATTCATTATTCTCATGGTGACTGATGTACACCAAAGGAACAAACGGACACAGCTGCGTCTGCGTGGTAGACAGAAAAGTAGCTGTTGGGGGTGGAGAGGTGGCTTAATGGTTAAGACCAATTACTGCTCTATTGGAGGGCCAGAGTTCAGATTCCAGAACTCACACTCAGCAGCTCACAAACTGCCTGTAACTCTTAACTCCAAGGGATCTGACTCACCTTCTGGCCACATGGGCACATTCCTGTGTGCGTGCACGCACACACACATGCACACATGCACGCGCGCGCACACACACACACACCGTGGGATATTTGTACACTGTGTGAAGGTATATTGCTGTGACTGATGTAATAAAAATCTAGGCAGGAGGTATGGGTTGGACTTCTTGACAGAGAGAGAGTGGGGAGGAGGAATCCAGTTGAGTAAGAGAGACACTGAAGAAGCAGGATGGACAGTATGTGACAGAACTTAGATGGACAAAAATGGGTTGATTTAAGGTATGAGAGCTAGTTAATAACAAGCCTAAGCTAAGGCCAAGCTTTCGCAATAAGTCTTCACATCGTTATTTGTGAGTTGGTGTCCCAAAGAAATATCCGACTACGCACACGCCCCAATCACACCCAAAGAAAAGTATTCTGTGCACTTGCTCCTCCCAGGGAGATCTTTCAGAATGGGAGCTTTGGCCAGCATTGTCCCTTAGCCCCTCGTGGAGCCAAGGAAGAGAGGATGGTGGTGAGGCCACCAAACGGTACGGCTCGTAGGCTTCTGAGGCTAAAGCTTCCATTGTTTAGATCAGGACACTTACAGAAGTATAGAAAGAGCACAAGCTCTCAGCTCAAACTGTTTCCATTTTGAGATGAAGATGGAGAGTCTGGTACCCTCTGTCCAGGAGACTCATACTCAAGCTTGGAGGCAGCTCATATTTGCCTGCAGCCTTCTTCCTGGACAGTGAACCCCTGGAAGGCAGGAGTGGGGGTCTTAGATCAGCCAAGCAAGCTACGCCTAGAGAGGGCTTCATCAGTATTTGCTCCAAATAGGGCAGTGAGGACGCTTTTGAAACCACGCCTGAAATTTTGTAGAGCATCTGCTGTCATGTGTCGGGTACCACTGAAGTGGTCTAAAAGGAGAGGAGGGGTCTGAGTTCCGCAGAGGAACTGGAAAACGCTGGCATTTAATAACTGAAAAGATCCACTGCCACTCCTGTCTTTTTTGGGGCGGGGGGATGATGCTTGTCGCAATCCCGCTCTCACTGGATGGTAGAAAGCACAGGGCGCATTTATCTCACTCTCTGTGCTGACACTCACTGCCTGTAGGGGGAGGCAGGAGAGGTGTTAAATGATAGATGACTAATATAGATCCCCCTGTTCTTCCTCAACCCCTCTTTCTGGGATGCTTGCTTGGGGACCTTTTGTGAAGGAGGAAAATGGCATGGACGTGTGTGTGTTCAGGGTTGGGGGGCGGGTGGAGAGTGTAAGTGTATACTTTTCTTTTAAGAATCAGCCATGCAGCCGGGGATTGGTGGCACATGCCTTTAATTCCAGCACTGGGGGGGGGGGGGCAGAGGCAGGTGGATCTCTGTGAGTTCGAGGCCAGCCTGGTCTACAGAGTGAATTCCAGGACAGCCTCCAAAACAATACAAGAAACCTTGTCTCGAAAAACCAAAAAAAAAAAAAAAAATCAGCCATGCTGTCTCCTGTGTTGTAGGAATGAGATTGCATGGTCTCCCACATCCCTAGTTAACCTGTATTGTTAACCCATCTCTAAAATCTCCTCAAGACTGATGCTTTTACTTCTATTTGTTGACTTCTCAAGTTTTTTTGAGAATGCAGACAATGAGAACTAAAATGTCATCTCCCAATAGCTTTTATGTTACCTCTTATTGCATTTACTTGTGTGTGTGTGTATGTGTGTGTGTATGTATGTGTGTGTATGTATGTATGTGTGTGCATGTGTGTGTATGTATGTGTGTGTGTATGTGTGTGTATGTGTGTGTGTATGTGTGTGTATGTATGTGTGTGTGTATGTGTGTGTATGTATGTGTGTGTGTGTGTGTATGCGCGCACATTTGCTAGGGTGAGGATGTGGAGGTCAGAGGACAACTTGTGGTAGAGTGGGTCTCTCAAAGATTCAACTCAGGTCCTTAGGCTTGAGAGCAAGAGCCTTGACTTGATAACCTGTCTTGTTGTGTGCCATGTCTGGTAGGAATCTCACTTCTGCCATTCTCTTCCTCGTCTGCCCTGCTTATAAGTAGCAATGACAACAACAACAATGATTTATTGCTATTTTGAGACAAGCCCAGACTGGCTTCAAACTTAATATGTAGAGCAAGGAGGGCTGTGAACATCTGACCTTCCTGCCTCTGCTTGTCCTGGGAGCCAAGGTGTAACTACCACACCCAGGTTAAGCAGTGTTAGGGACTGAACCCGGGCCTTCATCCATGCTAAGGAAGCACTCGACCCAGTTACCTCTGCAGACCACACTTTTATTTCTTAAGAGATGTTATTCTTTGTTTAGAACTGGTAGTGTGTTTAGCAGCAGCTCTTCCTCAGACAACAAGCCAGCAGGCCAAAGTATTCCATCCAAATTCAACTTGGTGAACCAATGAGTTTGTCGAGGTTATTCACAGGAACACAGATGACTCCCAGGCAGCTGAGTCATTTGAAAATTGTTTATCTTGCAACAACATCACAAAGACTGTCTCCAGCACCCTGCAACACCAAGAGCAACTGGGAGGTCATTATCATCTTAGGTGATGGTGATGCCCCCTCAGGAGAGGAGGGGCTACCACAGCCTTCTCATCACCATGCTCCCAGCTGTCACTGTACTCTGCTTATCTTGTTGCCATGACTGTGGAAGCAGGCATCCTTCGAGCACCGTAGCAGCTCGGCTTCATTATGATGCTGGCCGTGTCACACCAGAGGAAATGGCTTCACTCCAGCATGAGCCGAAGTCAATGGGAACTGAGATGGGATCAAAGGGCAGGGTCACC